ATGTGGGACTCGATCCCAGGACCCTGGGATCATGACCTGAGCCAAAGGCAGACGCTTAACGACTGAGCCACCCAGGCGCCCGCACATTACCACTTTTAACATAAATTAGAAAAAAGTGAAAATTCTCATATTCTTGAAAGAACTGCCTGTTTATTCTGTTGTAATATGGTAGCAGTTGTAAATTTCCTCATTTTCTAGTCCTCCTCATCCTCCAGTAAATATCCCCAGGTTCTTAGGACACTCTTCTAGAAATAGGTAGGGCTAAGATAAGCAGTGCATGTAATAAACTTTTACTTGTATCACTTCTAAATGAGAACTACATTTATTACTTGATATTTACTTGTTGAGACTGAAATGGGTAGTAAATAAATCAGCATTTATAGAAATGTTTTTAAAATAAAGTACATTGGATGGCTTAGTGATAAATTTGTGATTGTCAGCATTTAGTCTCTTTTCTGTTGCCTTTTGTACACAAGGTAAGTTGACATAAAAGTTCAGCCCAGTGGTTGAACATGTTGTTAGCAGTGGAATAACACCAGGCAACTGTCTGGAATCAGCAAAAACAACCTATGGAAGTTTCTCTATGTAGAGATGCCTATGCTTCTGGCTGGGCTTTTAAGGAATCTCTTATTCCAGACCCCGGGTTTTGGATTATGTAAGAAGGAAGCCTTAGTTTCACCCTGCATGACCCTGCTGCTGGCCTACTTGTCAATGATGGGAATTGGGGGAGAATCCCAGATTCTCTTAGAGGTTCTTCATCTGGGCATCTTGGTCTTCTCTTCTCCCCATGGAAACTGAAGCTTACATGGCTCTTTGAGCCACCTTTGACTGAATTCCATTACTAAGGGAAGCACTGAGCATTACTGGCCCAGGCAGCACAATTGTCACCCTGTCTTTAAGTATGATCATGGTTTCCAGCACTTTTCTAGCACTCTTACTGATCTGCACTCTTCCCAGGTGACTTTTGGTGTTGATGAGGCATGCTTTTTTTCTAGTATTTTAATAGTAAGTCTAAGTTAATGTTTGCATAGTCCAGAAATCTCATCTTGGAGCATTTCTGATTCTTCTCAGAAATGCAATATGTTACTGTTTAAAATGTTACTGATGCTGAATAACTGTCAGAACCCCTGGGCCTTTGTGGGAACATAGAGAAACAAGAGGGGAGGTGAATGAGTAATGAGCACCTGTCATTCAAAGTTAGCTGTTTTTATGGTCTTTCTTACTGTAGAAATCTCCCAGAAATCTTCTCATCAGCCAAGTTCAGATTGATTTATAAGTAACATTTATGCTTGTGTTAATTATATTCAACTGTTATTAGTGCTCTTGTGATTTTATATGTCAGTCTGTTTTGGATTTTATTTTTATCCCATTGCTTACCACAATGCCAGATGTTCAGTAAAACTCAGTTATTTGTTGAATGAATTAATAATAGACCTCTTACATCAAAGTTATAAAACCATAAGAGCATTAGGAAAGTAACACACTCTATGGGGCGCCTGGGTGGCTCAGTTGTTAAGCGTCTGCCCTCGGCTCGGGTCATGATCCCAGGGTCCTGGGATCGAGCCCCACATCGGGCTCCCTGCTCCACGGGAAGCCTGCTTCTCCCTCTCCCACTCCCCCTGCTTGTGTTCCCTCTCTCGCTGTGTCTCTCTCTGTCAAATAAATAAAAATCTTAAAAAAAAAAAGGAAAGTAACACACTCTAGCCAAGAAGCTAAAAGTCAAAGAGCTCTGGATTCAATCCTGGCTCTGCCATTTATTTATAATTTGCCCTTGGGCAAATTGCTTAACCCCTCTATGCTTCAGTTTTTTTTTTCATTTGTCATATTGGGGCCTATTGTGAGGATTAAATGAAATAAAGCATGTAGATCACTTACTGCACATAACATGTTATGCATCATAATGAACACCCTACTAATAATAATGATGTTGGTAATTGATAAAAGCAGACCTATCCGTTAAAGAGTAGCTTTTCATTAATTAAATAAAATCGTGGAGTTTAAAAAATATATTTCCTACTACATCTTTTAGGGAAAAGCAGTTGTTGGTGGTGGATCTTTTCCGATTAATAATGTATTTGTTTGTTTACTCTGACAGATACCAGGGAAAACTTTTTAATCCTTGAGTCCCACAGGAAGGCTAAATTGTATCTATAAAAGTGCCCATGCTATAGGCTGAGGAGTCAGACTCAAGGAAAAGGGAATGAGAGGGGGAGTTGTGGAAGGAAAGAAGACTAGAAAATATGGGGTGCCTGTGGAAGGAGAGTGGATGGAAGGATGCTGCTAGTGATTGCTTGGTTGGTGGAAATGGGTCAGAGTTTTCCTAACCTTACTTGAAGTTAAGGTGACAAAAACAAAAATGGAACCCTAAAACCTTCCTTACATTTCTATATGATTGCAACTTTTGTTAGTGAAGTAGTATCTTTACCAACACCCCTTAAAAGATTTTGCAGCTTGGGGCGCCTGGATGGCTCAGTCGTTAAGCGTCTGCCTTCGGCTCAGGTCATGATCCCAGGGTCCTGGGATTGAGCCCTGCATCGGGCTCCCTGCTTGGCAGGAAGCCTGCTTCTCCCACTCCCGCTCCCCCTGCTTGTGTTCCCTCTCTCGCTGTGTCTCTGTCAAATAAATAAATAAAATCTTAAAAAAAAAAAAAGAAAAACGATTTTGCAGCTTGATTTTAAGAACAGGCTGTTAAGTCAGTCAGTGATTGGATATAAAGAAAAATCACCCATTAGAAACAGGCATATTTTAGGGGCACCTGGGTGGTTCAGTGGGTTATACGTCTACCTCCGGCTCAGGTCATGATCCTGGGGTCCTGGGATCTAGCCCCACATCGGGCTCCCTGCTCAGCAGTGAGTCTGCTTCTCCTCTTCTTCTCCCTCTGTAATCTCTCTCGCTCTCACTCTCTCTCAAATAAATAAATAAAATCTCAAAAAAAAAAGGCATATTTTAGAAGAGTCTCCAAGAAACAGTCACCATAGCCTTAAATGGTTGTTTTTCTAGTGTTTTTCTTTTCTTTTTTTTTTTTTTTAAAGATTTTATTGGAGAGAGATATGGAGCATGAGCATGAGCAGGGGGGAGGAGGCCGAGGGAGAGGGAGAAGCAGGCTCCCCACTGAGCAGGGAGCCTGATGTGGGGCTCGATCCCAGGACCCCAGGATCATGACCTGAGTCGAAAGCAGATGTTTAACCGACTGAGCCACTCAGGGGCCCTGTTTTTCTTTTGTAAGAATTGTATAAATTCTTAAAAATAATATATTCACTGGCACTTACTAGAAACACTTGGGTTGTGGTTGATTGTGTGTGGTTATGCATTGTAATCTCTATAATTAGGTTCAGTAGGCTGATAGAACTTTTCTCTTAAATGAAGAATATCAATTATTCGCCACGGTGTTAACCTTGAGAGTTGTAGAAAGTAGCACCTTTATTTTCCTCATTTAAACCTTGTGCCTGACTTCTTGAACCCCTATTTTTAAATTTTATTTTCCCTTTTAAAAAACAGCCAATCTGGGGCGCCTGGGTGGCTCAGTTGTTAAGCGTCTGCCTTTGGCTCGGGTCATGATCCCAGGGTCCTGGGATCGAGCCCCGCATCGGGCTCCCTGCTC